ATATACACTTTTTATTTAATTAATATCTCAAAATGATCACTACTCTGGTATAGGTGATGATTATCATTATTTTTCAAATTCTTATATGTTAAACTACCCAACATGTAAAGTATTTTCTGCTGTGTTCAGGTTTTCCTTTGCTAATGACATAGCAAATGGAATGGCATATCTACATCAGCATAAAATGTTCCATTCACGGCTTAAGTCCACAAACTGTGTCATTGATGATCGATGGGTTTGTAAAATTACAGGTGAGTGAAGTGGTTTTTTTTTCTATTTTGAAATAATAAAATAAGGAAATAGTTACATATTAATAACTGATTGGATTTAAATTTGGTAAATTGGGTAGCTCTGGTTTTCATTATAGGTAGTAGTATTCGGGCTTTGGAACCTTAATCTTAAATAGAAAGCTGCTGTACTCAAAGTGTGACCACTTATAGTTATCTAAATCAAAAATGCACAGCACTAAAAATTCATATAAAAAAATGTTGTGTATATCCCAAAGATTAATATCAATGTATAAAGTGCAAACCTAGTGTTAAATATACAATAAATCGATATAAATCATTAAATAAATCTCATAATAAAGTGCATATCAGATAATTAATTAGTAATAATTCATGTGCAATAAATAGTTAAAAGTGTCCAATTAATAATACATGGATATGAAGAAATCCAATAAAAGTGCTTCACACAATAATTAGTGTCTTTAAACAATTGAAAACTAAGTCCCAATGTGATCCACAATCCATATAAGAAAACACCCCAAAAAACACTCCAATGTATCCAAGTGCTAATAGTAGAAAGTGTCAATCTCCCTGTGAACGAACACATCTTCCTTTCACCGGAAAAAACCGACCGCCTAAAATTAGATGGTCAGATAAGGCATGATGTAATATTGCACCAGAGGCCCAATCAACTGCTCCTTTGGTCCATCCAGTGCTCCCTTGCGATCCGTAACCCCCTGGTCTCCAATGTAAAGTATTTTCTGCTGTGTTCAGATTTTCCTTTGCTAATGACATAGCAAATGGAATGGCATATCTACATCAGCATAAAATGTTCCATTCACGGCTTAAATCCACAAACTGTGTCAATGATGATCGATGGGTTTGTAAAATTACAGGTGAGTGAAGTGTTTTTTTTCTATTTTGAAATAAGAAAATCGGAAAATAATTACATATGAATAACCAATTGGTTTTAAATTTGGTAAATGTTGGGTAGCTCTTCTTTTCATTGCGTGTATTAGGGTACTTTCTGGGGTCTGTGAGTTAGCATATAGTAGTAATAGTTTCTTTAGACATTGTGCCATTAACAAGTAGGGGACCCCCCCGAGGCTTGAAGTCTACATACTGTAGGCCTACAGACATAGGATATATAAGTATGATACTTTTTTTATTTGCACTAACCGTTACACTTTCTGTACAAGCTTTCAGGGTGTTCCCCTTTTCCCAGTCCAAGAACAAGGACAAGCTTTTTAGTTGTCTGGAAAATCCTGAGAGCTGATCCTAAAAATTTAACTGCTACAGCAAATAAAAAAAAAAAAGTATCAATGACAGTACTTTACTGTGTTGCAAGTGAACTGTTGCAGGTAAAATCACCTACAGACAAAGATAATCTTCTCTCAAACTAGCTGGTTATGGCAACCACCATATCTAGCATTAACAAACATTTAATAGTTACACAAATTATCCCAAATGTTAAGTTGTCACCAGAACAAAAGCAGACTTGTTCCGATGACAACAATGATTTAGTTCATTTTCATGAGATTTCCTCCCACTTCCAGTTGTGTCTACAGGACAATCTCCCCAAATAGGGCAGAGATGGCAAAAAAACCCCCAAAAAAACGAATAGTGGCTCTATCCACTTCCTATGCCTTTACTATAGCATTTGGAAAAAAAATGGGTTTAGATATATTTTAATGGGGTTGTGTGCCAAATATAGTGGTCACTGAGTACATATTGGTCTACAAGAAACAAGCTAAAAACAGTATTTAACAACTTCTATGGCTAATTGAAAAATTCAGATGAGCTTGGAGAATTAAAATGTTTGCCTTCCAGTTGGGGGACGAGATATGTACAGTACATGTGATTAAAGCTTAACACTACAAACAAATATGAAAAATGAAAGCTAGAATGAATGAATATTACCGACTGATTAATCATCAAAATTCATGCATCCATTGATTGTGAATTCACTCACTCATGTTATCATTATTCTTTGCCTTCTTTTAGATTATGGCTTGGACACTTTCCGCAAAACAGTTTCTGCAGATGAGTACAATACGTACCAAGAGACTTCAGCTCAAGCATACATACCACCTGAAGTTCAATCTATATCCAGCCAAGGGAAATCTGCAGAAGCTGACATATATAGGTACTAGATATATGTTTAGATATACAAGCATTCTGCATACTGGCACCTCTTTGTCTAGAGACTTAGCCTTCATGATGGTGTGTCAATCGGCTAGGGGACAAGAAATCTCCTATATCAAAACTGATAACTGATTCACTAGTCTATGGCTGATCTAAGGGTACAGTGTTGCACTCAGGTACTAATTGTTAGCCTCATTGAGCTGAAAATTGAATGTCATATAATGATGGCTAGTTTTCGTATCTTATTTGTACTACAAAAACCATGCAAATAGGGTATGTAACATGGTGGTGATATATACTTCAACCTGCTTTCAAGCTGCACAATAGCACAGCAGTATGTGGCAACACTATGTAGCTTAGTGGCTAATAAAAAGAAATGTATTATTTTTTATTTGAAGAATAATTATTAATTACAATGTTTGCCTTTAAAAACTGTCCAAAATGTTTTTTTTAAATAAGTACATAGGAAAAATGCATAGTGTTCACAGTTTATGTTGTGAATAATTGTTGTGGTCAATAAATTGTGCTTTTCAGCTACGCTATTATTTTACTGGAAATAGCAATCAGAAATGACCCCTCATCGGTAAGACATTTACTAATTTTATCTTTGTAGTTCTAAAATTGACATTACTTGCTTTCATACTTAATCACACACCAGAAAATAATATTTTAGGTTGCTAGATGCTTTTTCATTTTTAAGTGACTACCAAATAAAAGATATTTGTTCCATGAACAAACCCGTTTTATATTAAGATTATGTGACCAAATTGTTAGTCTAGCTAAAGAAAGACAGGTCCATTATGTAAATACTTACATAAAGTATTTATTATTAGAGGAAAATTATAACAAATGTTTAACAAAATAAATATTAAAATCTGCAAGTCAAAATATGAGTAACATTTTTTTCTTGTCTTAATTGTTGTTTTGGTGTAGAGAAAAAAAAAGGATCTGCACTTTGCACTAAGATGTGTACAGCTTTTTCAGTGCCACACATAACAATTTATTGGTATAAACTTTAGAACTAAGTATACTGACCATAGCATTTGTTAGTAGAAGCAGTGGGGATTTTTAACAATCTGCCAAAGGCATTAACAGTGCCAAGCCCAGACCAAGAATACAGGTCTTCTGGCAAGAGTCCCAAGCTTGTGACTCACTCTTATTAGGGTTATAGTGGCAATATTACCTGTACAAAAGACCAAGGTTCACACCACCCACAATTTTGTAGTCACCTCCCATTTTTTTATGGGCCATGCCCCTGATGTGGATTGTTGTTTTCTTAATGTCGTTGTTTTTTTTAATGAAAATATAATATTTAAAAAAACAAAAACTTGTATGACAATAAACCATGTCCTTTAGAAACACTCACCATCCTCACCAATCAGTGAGGCACATTTAGATACTTTCCAAGGTACACAGAAATCGTGGCACACCACATTTTAGAGCACTAGTGTGGTTGAAGAACCCAATGCCAGTGGTCTGGAATGGGGCCCTGCTATAAAAACGTCAGTCCATATCAGGCTAGTAATTCTTAGGTAACGGGATTTGCTTTTAATTTACATTTTATTGAAAAGGTTAAGCATAACATACGCAATTTTTTTCACATCCTCACCTTACTATGGACAGCACTCAAGCTTGAATGGTTTGGGTGGCGGGGGTAACAGTGCCCTAAATACACTAAAAAGCTGAAAAACACAGGGACAGAAACTTTTCTGCCTACCTTCCTAATGGCATATGTTTTTCTTAAAAACTACAGGTGCACTTTAGCTGGGCCAAAGTTGGAGCTTTGACCTTAGTTAGACTTCCAGTATAAGGGATAAAATGTATTCACACAGAGTTAGGGAATAATCTACTATGTTTTAAAGATGAAAGGAAATGAACATGATCTCTGCAAGGAAGGTGACATAATAAATATCAGATAGCTGAGATTGGACGATGACACTCAATAGAACAAGGGGAATGCAAAGATAAACATGGCTAATAACACGAGTATCAATAATTTAAAATATGTGTCATGACATATGGTCTCTAGGAAGCATTTGAAGTGGTAGGATTAAGAGGATTTAATGAGATGCTTAAGTAACATTCAGGATGCAAAGATAAAACTGCATATACATAATAAGTAATCATGGTCACTCAGCATTCAGAAGAGGATAATCTATTGACAAACTATCAAGGAGAATCAGGGAGGCATAGCACAATGGATCACACTCAAAGTTCAACAGTATTTTATAATCACTAGTGATTCCAGTCCTTGGAATTAACACAAAAATCTAGTCGCTCCATGCTTGTGATCACTTTTGTGTATTTGCTTATAAATATAATGTTATAGTGGTCTTTGAGATGTTTACTTCTGCCTTTATTGTTTAGAAAGGAGATACAAATTCAGCAGAGCACTGCTGCCTTCCGTTACCAGAGTTAATTAAGGGTAAAGCAGATAATGCCTGTCCATGTCCATCAGAATATGCAGAGGTGAGTCACTCAAGAATAAAACAAGTAACCTTTTTTTGCAGTAGGATATTTATTTTTATCCTTTGTTCCTATTTTGAAGCAGATACATCTGTCTTTAAACCAGTTGAAAAATAATTAAGATTTAAAAAAAATATGTGCTATACACAGCAAGCCTAAGTACTGTACCTGACACTTGACCTAAGTCTTGAGATCAGACTCCTGAAATCCCCAACAGCTGCAGTCATGCTAGGAAAGGGAAAGGGTGGCACAGCACTCTAGCAAATTAGACTTCATAGTTATATTCATCTAAAGCTAGCCATACCAATCACATATTAATGGTAGAATCTCCATACAATCTCATTTAGAAAACTATGTGATGTAAGGGCCTACCAAAAATGCATTCAATGTTTATCAAGTCATGCAGGTCCTTGCATTACATAGATGTTAGTAGATCTAAAGGACTTTTAACGTGTATGGTCAGATTAACATGTAGAGCTTTCTGAAAGGAAGAGATAGCAAAGTAAAAATCTCATCAGTGCTGCTGCTCCGTTTTATTTAATATACTGTATATCAGGGGTAGGCAAACTCTAGTTCTCCAGCTGTGGTGAAACCACAAATCCCATCATGCATCTGCCTCTGGGTGTTGCTGCTGTCAGTCTTGCAATGCCTCATGGTATTTGTAGTTCTACAACAGCTAAAGGGCTGGAGTAAAAATGCATAGTGTTCACAGTTTATGTTGTGAATAATTGTTGTGGTCAATAAATTGTGCTTTTCAGCTACGCTATTATTTTACTGGAAATAGCAATCAGAAATGACCCCTCATCGGTAAGACATTTACTAATTTTATCTTTGTAGTTCTAAAATTGACATTACTTGCTTTCATACTTAATCACACACCAGAAAATAATATTTTAGGTTGCTAGATGCTTTTTCATTTTTAAGTGACTACCAAATAAAAGATATTTGTTCCATGAACAAACCCGTTTTATATTAAGATTATGTGACCAAATTGTTAGTCTAGCTAAAGAAAGACAGGTCCATTATGTAAATACTTACATAAAGTATTTATTATTAGAGGAAAATTATAACAAATGTTTAACAAAATAAATATTAAAATCTGCAAGTCAAAATATGAGTAACATTTTTTTCTTGTCTTAATTGTTGTTTTGGTGTAGAGAAAAAAAAAGGATCTGCACTTTGCACTAAGATGTGTACAGCTTTTTCAGTGCCACACATAACAATTTATTGGTATAAACTTTAGAACTAAGTATACTGACCATAGCATTTGTTAGTAGAAGCAGTGGGGATTTTTAACAATCTGCCAAAGGCATTAACAGTGCCAAGCCCAGACCAAGAATACAGGTCTTCTGGCAAGAGTCCCAAGCTTGTGACTCACTCTTATTAGGGTTATAGTGGCAATATTACCTGTACAAAAGACCAAGGTTCACACCACCCACAATTTTGTAGTCACCTCCCATTTTTTTATGGGCCATGCCCCTGATGTGGATTGTTGTTTTCTTAATGTCGTTGTTTTTTTTAATGAAAATATAATATTTAAAAAAACAAAAACTTGTATGACAATAAACCATGTCCTTTAGAAACACTCACCATCCTCACCAATCAGTGAGGCACATTTAGATACTTTCCAAGGTACACAGAAATCGTGGCACACCACATTTTAGAGCACTAGTGTGGTTGAAGAACCCAATGCCAGTGGTCTGGAATGGGGCCCTGCTATAAAAACGTCAGTCCATATCAGGCTAGTAATTCTTAGGTAACGGGATTTGCTTTTAATTTACATTTTATTGAAAAGGTTAAGCATAACATACGCAATTTTTTTCACATCCTCACCTTACTATGGACAGCACTCAAGCTTGAATGGTTTGGGTGGCGGGGGTAACAGTGCCCTAAATACACTAAAAAGCTGAAAAACACAGGGACAGAAACTTTTCTGCCTACCTTCCTAATGGCATATGTTTTTCTTAAAAACTACAGGTGCACTTTAGCTGGGCCAAAGTTGGAGCTTTGACCTTAGTTAGACTTCCAGTATAAGGGATAAAATGTATTCACACAGAGTTAGGGAATAATCTACTATGTTTTAAAGATGAAAGGAAATGAACATGATCTCTGCAAGGAAGGTGACATAATAAATATCAGATAGCTGAGATTGGACGATGACACTCAATAGAACAAGGGGAATGCAAAGATAAACATGGCTAATAACACGAGTATCAATAATTTAAAATATGTGTCATGACATATGGTCTCTAGGAAGCATTTGAAGTGGTAGGATTAAGAGGATTTAATGAGATGCTTAAGTAACATTCAGGATGCAAAGATAAAACTGCATATACATAATAAGTAATCATGGTCACTCAGCATTCAGAAGAGGATAATCTATTGACAAACTATCAAGGAGAATCAGGGAGGCATAGCACAATGGATCACACTCAAAGTTCAACAGTATTTTATAATCACTAGTGATTCCAGTCCTTGGAATTAACACAAAAATCTAGTCGCTCCATGCTTGTGATCACTTTTGTGTATTTGCTTATAAATATAATGTTATAGTGGTCTTTGAGATGTTTACTTCTGCCTTTATTGTTTAGAAAGGAGATACAAATTCAGCAGAGCACTGCTGCCTTCCGTTACCAGAGTTAATTAAGGGTAAAGCAGATAATGCCTGTCCATGTCCATCAGAATATGCAGAGGTGAGTCACTCAAGAATAAAACAAGTAACCTTTTTTTGCAGTAGGATATTTATTTTTATCCTTTGTTCCTATTTTGAAGCAGATACATCTGTCTTTAAACCAGTTGAAAAATAATTAAGATTTAAAAAAAATATGTGCTATACACAGCAAGCCTAAGTACTGTACCTGACACTTGACCTAAGTCTTGAGATCAGACTCCTGAAATCCCCAACAGCTGCAGTCATGCTAGGAAAGGGAAAGGGTGGCACAGCACTCTAGCAAATTAGACTTCATAGTTATATTCATCTAAAGCTAGCCATACCAATCACATATTAATGGTAGAATCTCCATACAATCTCATTTAGAAAACTATGTGATGTAAGGGCCTACCAAAAATGCATTCAATGTTTATCAAGTCATGCAGGTCCTTGCATTACATAGATGTTAGTAGATCTAAAGGACTTTTAACGTGTATGGTCAGATTAACATGTAGAGCTTTCTGAAAGGAAGAGATAGCAAAGTAAAAATCTCATCAGTGCTGCTGCTCCGTTTTATTTAATATACTGTATATCAGGGGTAGGCAAACTCTAGTTCTCCAGCTGTGGTGAAACCACAAATCCCATCATGCATCTGCCTCTGGGTGTTGCTGCTGTCAGTCTTGCAATGCCTCATGGTATTTGTAGTTCTACAACAGCTAAAGGGCTGGAGTTTGCTGACCCATGCTGCATGTGCTTTGTATGTTTAACAATTGAGCGCATCTATTGCATTTAGATACTTGTGCTCTGTAAGTTCTCGCAGGAGTGAAACGCATCAACAAGAGTATCAGAAGAGGAACCTTTCAAGGATGTCAGTGGGCTGTGGGTATTTTCATAGTATACTACAGCTTACAGTTGTAGATGAACTATTGTGATCAGTACGCAGACAGAGCTGAAAAACAATGGACCTAATACGCATACCTATAAATTACAATTTGAGGGCAGAAAAGGTGCTTTTAAGGAGCAGGGGAAAAAAATGTTTCATGAGAAAACAATAATGGTTCATTTAAAATGAATGTGACAAAAAAACACCTATATATTGTTATTATATGTTTTAATGTTTTGATCAGAAAAAGTAAAAAAAACTCTCATACATCATTTTAAACTAGTAGTTTCCGTACATTTTATTTAACTGATCCCACAGGGTCAATAATCCTATGACATCATGTATAATGCAGGACCCGCTGGTCCTGCATTGTATGTGATGATGTTGGTGAGAGGGGGGGCGACAAGACTGGGAAGAAGAAGGGCTTTTGAGAGATTGGTCATCACAGCTGGAAGTGGTGATGAGGAAGACTGGGGGACTGTGTAATAGATTTAGATTATCCCCTTGAAAAACCAACATTATATTCTTCATCAGCTGAGGTGGGGGTACAATTTTATTTGTTTTATATTCGCTTGCAGTTTGGCTTTAATTAAGAATAATTAAACATCTATGCATTAGAGGGCTGTTCTACCTGGATCCTGTAGTAAGCTCCTCACTGCTACGTATGTTCTATTCATGCTATGCAAGCTATTGGTATCAGTTCAATATCAACTGATTATGCATTTAGACTGGAAGTGCCCTGGCTAGAGAAAATATAAATGACATTCTGAATATTACTAAAATACAACTGTATATTTCCTGATTTTTTTTTCCTAATGGAAAAAATCAGGAAATCCCCCTTCACCCTGCAGGGCTGACCTGACATTTCCATCGATTATGTGTTCTTATTCAGGCACATATTTGACAATGAATCATTAACATTTAAAAACACTCATAAATATGATTTATGCTTAATGTCCTTTGTAAGTTAGATGTTAGTGTATGTATAGGTAAAAAAAGAAAATTACAAATATCACAGTGTACTCACACCCAGTGGCTTACCGAGGGGGATGGGGTGAGCAGTCAACCTGTGTTTAGGACAGCACCTTCCATTGAATGCAGAACACAGCGTTACCCTGGCACCCTACAGAGGTGATGTAGAGCTCAGGAAAAGCATTACATGACAAGTCAAGAGAAATCATAGGAGTACTTCCCTCACTCTGCTGAGATGATTTGTAAATGTTTTAACGGAAAGAGGAGGTTTGTTGAGGAGTTACCCCCATATAGTTACGATTGCCTGTTTGTTGCCCCCATATAGTCACAATTGCCCATTTGCTGCCTGCATATTGTCTGCTTTGTGCATTTGTTAGCCATATATTGCTACAACTGGCTGTTTTGTATTTGTATTGATTCCCTTTTGGTAGCCTACATATTGTAACAGTTGACACTATGTATTGTATATAGTTGCCTAGCTGGGGTCCATGTATTGTCATTATAGCCATTTTTTGCCTATGTATTGTGAAGTGACAGGTGTTTTAGAGTATTATATTACTATAATGTAGTTCTCTGTAGGCCTGTCAAAGCTCGCTGCTTTATTATCTTTATGTTTGAATTTTATTTTAGTTAGCACATTTTTATTATCCCTATATTTCCATATTAAACACTTAATTTCATTTTCTTTTACCAACATTCAGATAAATAAAATTTTCACTATTTCCATTTTTCTGCCAATTATTAGTATTTATTTAATTTTATGTTTACTACTGAAAATAACTTTATAGAGGAGGAAGGGGGTGGGGTTAAAAATAATCTGCCCCAGGTTTTAACCATGATAGGTAAACCCTTCCTGGATGTTCAAAACTGAATATTTTGGTAAAAAGCAGATAATTTGACAAAATGTCTGCATGTTGGCTAAATGCACTAGCATCATCAGCGAAGGCAAAAATAGGATGGTTTTAAGATGCAATGGACTTTATTAGCTCCTGAGGCTTCTGGAAGCTCCACTTAAGTACCCTGGGCCTGTTCTTATGCAAAAAACAGCTGTTTATTAGTCTAATTTCTTTACCATTTTTATAGAAGAAAAAAAAATAGGCGGTGAAAAAAAAGTAAAATTAAACCTTTAAAATGGTACACAAATAATGATCAATTGCATTATAAAAAGTTCAGGACACAAATAAAAAGAACAATAAAGCTCCGGTCTGTTCAGTGCTCCATAAGGTGCACCGGACCTCCCTGCGTCCTATGGTCCGGTGCGCCAAAATACGGTATACTGTACATAAATACACACCCTCCAAATAAAGAAAAAAAATAGCAAAATCAAATGTAGCGCTCCCCCTTCCTGGTCAGCGCTGTCCCAATATAGGATAACACTACTGCTGGCTCTAAAGGGATGATCTACAGTAAACAGAACTAACGGGTCTCCCTGTCTTCCTCTATAAGAAACCTCTACTATGGATCCACACCACACCTTGAGTTGGTTTAATAACTTTTACTGAACATTAGAGGTGCACCGAAATGGAAATTTCAAAACCGAAATAAAAAATTGTCAGCCCAAAACCGAAAATGTTTTTATTTTAATTTTTTCAAATTTTTTAAATACTTTATTTTATTTCTTTTTTAATAAACATTTAAATTTTGTTAATATTTGTTTTTATTTATTTATTCATTTTTATTAAATAATTTTTACTTTACTTTTACAAACCCCTTATATTTCCCTTTTAAAATAGAAAAGAGATTAAGAACACAGAGTCCTCTATCTCTTTTTCTGTATCCCCCATTATAAATGAACAGGAATCCTCTATACTGAGTGTTCCTGTTCATTGATTACATGAGAACAAAGTGTATTTACTATAACTGCAACTATGAATGAACAGGAGGTGATGTAGATCACTCCCAATCATTCATAATTGAGGATATAGTCAACATACAATGTACTCAATTATCTACAAACACTCAGTGATCACTCCTTCCTGACACACTGTCACAGGAGGCTGAGTGAGCGGAGCAGGGAGGAGAGCTCAGCCTCCTGTGACAGTGCGGACTGTCTCCGCCCACACACCGCTCTGCCGGACTGTGATAAGAGGCTGAGCGGTGTGGGAAGAGAGACGCCGGCCGCTCACAGCGCTCTCCTCCCGCAGCGTTCGGCCGGCTGTCACACTTTCTCTCCTCCCCGCTTAGACACAGAGCAGCATTCAGCGGGGAGGAGAGAAAGCAGGGATGCGCCGGTGTATCGGCAGGAAAATGGCACTTTCGGCATTTAGCCAAAAGTGCCATTTTCGGCCGATATGTTTTGGCGGCCGCTTTATCGGTGCATCCCTACTGAACATAGAATGTCAGATATCAATAGGATTAGTTAGAGTGGTGGCACATTGAAGAGCATGTTCAGTGAAATTGTGTCACTGCATTGAGGAAGTACATCCAATGGGCATCTTCAGTAAGTAACTTTACAAATGTCCTGATCAATATCATTTTTAGGAGTGGGATAGAACTTATGGAAATTCAATATAGAACTACATATTTATTTTTTGCCCATAGATATCATAGATATTTGCCTAGAGTTCAGTTTTACGAATTTGAATATATAACAAGATAGCAGATACAGAAAACAAACAATATGAAGCATTCAGAATTCTGTGCTTTATTGATCCTATCTGAAATGCAGAGGAAAAACTTTGGGGGAATTTATCAATGTTGTTGCATCCTCAGCATCTCTCAAACTGTCGTATCCCTTATTTCTAGTGCATATAGCGACAGGTTTATTATCTTAGTTTATGTCTCATTCTTAAATGCCTTCTTAAGGAGAATTGTCTCAAAACTGTCTCTATATTTTTCTGTCTCTAAATTGTCTCTAAACTGTTGCAAGCTTGCTGGGAACTTTCTGGATGATTGCTGAAAAGCCCTGAGGCACAGTGGCAGACCTAAGGAATAAAGGGCCCTGGGCGGGAGCGGATCTTACTGGTCTCTGCACCACAGGAGCTTACAATCTAATGTCCCCCCACATTCTCACACTATTTTATACATTTATATAGCTCTGACATATACCACAATGCTGTACAGAGAACACCTAACCAGTCACATTAGTTTCTGTACAGTGGAGCTTACACTCTAATGCAGAATGGCACCATCTATAGGAGGACTACAAATCCCAGTAATACATTATACAGTAATCAGAACAGTATATGCATTGGACTCTGGACTTAGCAACGCACTGGACTCTGGACCCACCAGAGATCTTGCAGAGCCCATCTGAGACCCCACACAGCCCACCATAGATCCTGCACAGCCCGCAGAGACTCTCTATGGTGGGCTCTGCAGGGTCTCAGGTGGGCTGGTCGTGGTCCCTTTCCCTGCACATGCAGCTTCATACCTGCCGCTGCTGGCTTCCTCCGCCCAGCCTCCTCCGCTGCCAGACTGGCACTGCTGGGTCCCAGCCCCAGCCTCCTCCACCTCCTCCCCTGTCAGTGGGCCCCTCCAGCCTTGGGCACTGGGTAGACTGCATGGGCTGCACCACCGGTAGTTCCGCTCCTGCTGAGGCACTCAGCTAACTTGAGGGTATGAGTCATCTTTGCTATAGTTTAAGAAGTGCTCAGGAGAACTTCTAGGATGTGCGTCTGTTTGGAGGTCTTTTACTGTCGTAAATGCTGTACACAATTACTGTGTAGTTGAAATATTATGCGAAATGTCCCAAAACATGTGCAGTGAGTCACAAACATGAATATGTTGCAATAACACTTAAAAAAAAATATTGGTATTTGCGCCAAAAATTTTGTCACAAACACGTTAATAAATTTACCCCTATATGTTGTTCACACAGAAAGTCTGAAGTCGAAGTCCACTGTGCCACTTGTATTCTGCATTCCTATTGGTTAATTGTAACAGGGAAAAAAACGATATCCTCTTTCTAGAGCATAGCACTAAAGTAAAAAATTGGTTTAAAAGCAAAAACAATTCATAAACATAGTGCATGTTTTTGCCAAATGTAAAATTACAGACCTCACTAACGCAAACTAAAGACTGCTGTTATCCATTGGGAAGCACTTGTGCTGCCTCTAATACCTAGATCACTGTATGCCAGTGTATTAAGTTAATCCAAGGTGACCTGTCTCAGTGATATCACAGCAAAGGCTTTTCACTACACATGGAGACTGCAATGTATCTGTGTGCTACTGCAACTGATCCAAATCTGACATGAAAAAGACCCTGGATTTCCTCTTTCTCTAATTTCTACTGCAGCTGATCAGAAGGTGCAGAAGCCAAAACCTCGCACAAAGGCCTACATTTGAGCAACTGAAGAAACTGCTTTACAAGATGAATCCGAACAAAGTCAGTCCCGTGGACATGATGATGACGCTGGTATGTATTTCAATGTTGTATTCCTGTTGTGATGTTCTTTGTTACAGAGTTAAACAGGAGCCCACATGTTAAAATGGTTTATGTACAGAGATGAGGCCTATCTTCTTGAAGCTTCAAAACATGTCTATGCCACAGATTGTCTTTAGAAGGCATCTATAACAAATGTTGTACTTATATTCACTCAGTACAGGGAGGAGTGCATGTCCCAGGGGCTGACTGGCAACTTTTAGCCCTGGGGGCAAGTACAACCCAGAGGCCCATGGTGCAGCAACTTGGCCCCCCTCCCACTCTGTCTCTTCCCCCACCTTCTCCCCGCCCGTCTGCCACTTTTGCCATCCATGTAACGGTAGTGTAAATGGTCGGGAGATGTGAGGACTCCTGGTAAGTTGATGAAAGGGGTGACTGGCTAGTGGATGGTGCTCTCCTCCTACTGGGCTCCCTTCATGGTTCTGGCCTTACTCCGCTCCATGTCCGGTACTTAGGCACTCTCACCACTGTAGACCGCCGCTGGCTGTCCATGCTTCTGGGCTGTGAGCTGTGGGAGGATAGTGGGAGGGGCTGGATAGTTTCAAAGTCAGTGTTCTATAATTTTTCTCGATCCTATAAATTTTCTTGACTGTGTCACTTCCAGTGGGGTCGAGTCATCCGAATCAGCTGTTTTCATGACCCCCTTTCTTCATGACATGCGCACCTGGAAGTGACGCGACAGAGAAATGTATCGGTTGAGGAAAATTATAGCACATTGGTAGTGGAGGGATGCCTTGTCAGTGCTGTGTACGCGTGTACGACTGCTGCGACCCTGGTAGTTCTGCCACTAACTCCAAGCTGTAAAGGGACTACAAATCTCAGCACATTATACAACAATGTAGAATAATAGCACCAGCTATAGAGGACTATAAATCTCAGAAATACATTATATAGCATTGCAGAATGGCATTGGCTATAGATAACTCCAATTCCCAGCAATACCATTATACAGCAATGCAGAACAGCATCAGCTATAGGGGGAATACAAGTCCCAGCAATACATATTACAGCAATGCAGAATAATATGAAGCTACATACTCTGTTGCTCTGGGTTCGTCGCCTGATGTCTCCAGGGTCTCAGGTGGGCTGTGCGGGCTCTCACCAGGGGCCCAGAGAGTTTCACGGGTGCGTGTGGGTGCAGCACAGACGGCTCCCTAATTAGGCTCTCAGGTGGCCAATGCGGACTGTCAGGTGGTCAGTGCGGGCTCTCTACTGGTCAGTGCAAGATCTGTGTTGGCCAGTGGGGGCTCCCTAATAATTAGTGGGGGCTCTGTGGTAGCTCCCCGGTGGCCAGTGGAGGCTCCCTGGTGGTTAGTGGGGGATCCCTGGTGTAGGGTGACCATTTATCTAGAGCTGCAGCTAACGATTATTTTCAAAATCGATTAGTTAGCAGATTATTAAATTCGATTACCCTGTTAATCAGATTTTGTTTTTAATGGCTCCAGTGATGGGACTACTAGTTTGTACTGAGATTGTAGTCCATCACAGGAGCAAGCTTGGAGGGGTGGAAATAAAAAAAAGTGTAGTGTGCAATATAGTGAAATAGAAAGTGTAAAATTATACAGCAATGAATGCAAAATGGCATCGGCTATAGAGGACTACAAATCCCAGCAATAGTACATTATACAGCGGAATGCAGAATACCGCCAGCTATAATGTACTATTGCTGGGATTTGTTGTATTCCTCGATAGCTGGCGGTATTCTGCATTGCGCTGTATAGAGGACTACAAATCCCAGCAATAGTACATTATAGCTGGCGGTATTCCGCATTGTGCTGTATAATGTATTATTGCAGGGTTTTGTAGTCCTCTATACAGCGCAATGCAGGATACCACCAGCTATAGGGGAGTACAACAAATCCCAGCAATACATTATACATTCAGTGTACAATGTATTACTGGGATTTGTAGTCCTCTATAGCTGATGGTATATTGCTCTGTATAATATACAGTACATCGCAATGTACCATCAGCTTTAGAGGACTACAAATCCCACTATCCCAGCAATACATTATAGACCACCATGTGTGGGAAAGTGCAGGCTTAACTGAGCAGTCTTCCAGCAACTTGCTTCTGAGATCGGGCCTGTCTGTCGGCGGCTGTCATCCCCTCACGCCTGCTCCTCCTTACTTCTTCTCCCTGCGTCGCTGTGCCGATCGTGGATGTGGTGTGGGCAGTGACTAGGTGCGGCGTGTGGAGCGTGGATACGGGCTGGTGGGTCTGGCAGCGGCAAGCGTGAGGCAGGGAGGAGGTGCGGTTTGTGGAGCGTGGATGCGGGCGGGGGGGCGGTGCGGCTTGTGGGGCGTGGATGTGGGCGGGCGGGTCTGGCAGCGGCAAGTGTGAGGCGGGGAGGAGGTGCGGCGTGTGGAGCATGGATGCGGGTGTGCGGGTCTGGCAGCAGCAATCGTGAGGCGGGGAGGAGGTGTGGCGCGTGTGGAGTCGTGACCAGGGCCAACTAATCGAAAGCTGATTAATCAATGATTGAAAACGTTGACAACATTTTCAATCATTGATTATAATCGGCTTAGTCGATTAGTTGTTGCAGCCCTACATTCATCCCCGATTTCTGGGGACAGTCCCCGGATTGAGGAGACCATCCCCGGGAACATAAAATAAACCATTTTTTTAAATACTCACCTGAACCCCGGATTCACCGACAAGTGCAGCCTCCCGTCTCCCACGCTGTCAGAATATGCATACAGCGCGTGCTGGTTACTACTTAAACCGGCGCGCACTGTGTGCAGCTTCTGAGAAGATACGCTATTAGCATAGCGAGGAGGTCAGCTGCGCATTTTGCATAGGTCCCGCTACGCTACTAGCGTATCTTCTCAGAAGCTGCACACAGCGCGTGCTGGTTTAAGTAGCAACCAGCACACGCTGTATGCATATTCTCACAGCGTGGGAGACGGGAGGCTGCACTTTTGGTAGATCCCTGGATCAGG